AAATATATATATATATATATATATATATGTCACGTCACTTAAAAGCTGGTTATATATATATATAAAAAAAACATTTATTAGTTATTAATTGAAAGGTGAAGTGTTGGATTGTTGTTCCTGCGCGTTTGACGGAAAACGGATTTTGCCAATCCCAACAGAACATCGCATCGCAGAAAACACCGAACGAAAGGTGTTTTGATGTCCGTCCCCTTTTTCCCAAACAAGTCAGATGAAATTTCGCGTTTCAACCTCTCTGCAAACCCTAATCCTCTTTTTCTTCTTTCTCTTCTTCCTCGATGGCACCTTCTCCACCTCACAATCCCAACTCTCCCTTCTCTCTCTCCCTCCCTCAGTTAAACAGGCCACGGCCCTCGTCGCCGCCCTCGATGGCACCATGTACTTGGTCGACAGTGTTTCCGGGAGGGTCATTTGGTCTTTTTCCACCGGATCCCCAATCTACCATTCCTATCACGCTCCCATCAATAACCCTAAGGACAACGTTACCGGCCTCATCGAATGCGGCGATGACTGGGAATTAATCGTTCACGACACTCACTTTGGTAAAACGGTATTCTCCTTTTATACCTCAATTATGTTGATGCTCAATGCTAGGTTTGTGATGAAAATGATGCCTGTTAGCTTGAAGTTATGTTTGAGGCTTTTTTTCGTGCTTGCAGAGGCTCTCTGAATCAATCGCAGATTATGTTGCTTTTACTCCTACGGTAACGAAGGAGGGAGCTGTTGTACTTGGATCCAAAAGAAGCACTGTGTTTGAAGTGAATGCTAGAACTGGAGCGCTTTTTCGAAGCTACTCTGTTTCTGATTTTCATGACAATGCTTCTAGTGTGGTGTCAAGTGATGGTGACGGGAAGCGGGTTAGAACTGCCAAGAATAACGAGCTTGCTGACCCTGCTCAACTGAGTTCACCTCAGTTCTTGCTCAGGATTTTCAGGACGGATTATTTCTTGCAATCGGTTGGTCCAGGAAGTGGATTAGTTTTGTGGACAATGGCTGTGGCTGAATTTAAGGCTGTATTGCTTTGTCAACATAATGAGAATCGTTCTGACGGCGGTTCGTTTGATGCAGAGGATGTGTATGTTTCTGAGAGTGACTTGGATTTTGCTATGCCGTATGCATGTTGGGACAGAAATCTGAAAGAAGTCTACCGCCAACGCAAGAATTTTCTGTTGGAACATGCTGACCTTGAAAGACTGTCTGGGGCTTATCAAGAGAATGATATGCGTACTTCAGAGCTGATGCTTCCATCACAGCCTGATATTGATAGATTTGTCCCTGGTCAAGAAGGTAAAATGATGCTACCTTTGCCTATGCCAAACTCCGTGCCCTTGTTGCCACAAAAAGTCAGCTTCTACGAGAGCAATGATAATGCCGTTGTGCTCCCTCAGCCTCTTATGGAGATTGCTGCCCCAGAGAAAGTTGGTCCAAATAGGGCTATTGAATGGTTGACAGGGTTGCCTCTTATATTATTTACAGTCTTTTTTGGTTTTTTTATCTTCCACTCTCTTGGGGTTAAAAATAAAGTTGTATTAAAAGAGCAAAACAATGAGTTAAGCTCAAAAAGTTTACCTCCTCCCAAGAAGAAGAAAGCAAGAAAGTCAGGAAAGAATAATATCATTGTTGACAAGCAGGATAAACATATATCATTGACTGACGAGGATATACTGTTAGCTGATGGACGCAGGATTGGTAAACTATTTGTATCAAATAAAGAAATTGCTAAGGGAAGTAATGGTACCATTGTCCTTGAAGGGACATACGAAGGCCGAGCAGTTGCTGTCAAACGTCTTGTTCAGGCTCATCATGATGTAGCCCACAAAGAAATCCAAAATCTCATTGCATCCGACAGACATCCAAACATTGTCCGATGGTATGGGATGGAAAGCGATCATGATTTTGTTTACCTTGCTCTGGAGCGCTGTACATGCAACTTGGATGATTTGATTCATATTTATTCTGATATGATTGACAATCCAGCATATAGCAAGGACCAATATTCTAGAATTTTGAAAAATGCTCTGAGGGAGACAGAGACAAATGATATACAATATCTTTGGAAAGCAAATGGCTTTCCATCACCTCTACTACTGAAACTGATGAGGTTAGTGAAAATGTTAAAACACGCTGATTTTTGATTCAGTAAACTCTTACCGGTGTTGTAGAGATTGCAATGATCACAATTTTCCTAGGTTAAAAAATATCATAATATTTTTCTCTCAGCTAATGAGAAAAAATGATGTGTGAAAGCTGTTAGAACTTTACGACACAAGGGGGATGCCTCAAGTGTGGTTGAGTGCCAACTAGGTAGAAACTTCTTGTTTGGCGTGTTGCTATTATAAATAGAGTCAAGCTATAGAAGCTAAGTTTTATATGGTAGTTTAGTTTAGTTGTAGGCTAAGAAAATCGACTTTTTTGGTCATTTAAAGGATCATTTCTGCAACTGACAAGAAAAGCAAAGGATATCTGCCATTAATGAGGGGTCCTAGGTAGTAGGCTGGTAGCTTCCATAAAGAAAATGTCAGATGATTGGCTGGAATAATTTGGGCATTTACTTGTAATAAGAGAATTCAATAGGACGATAAAGATAAGAAACATCATATGGAGGTAATGAGGTAGCAAAAGATTCGTGGAAAGGGTAGCGGTGAAAGAGTTAAGAAAATGCATGAAGGGTGATGTTTAATTTCCATTAGGACTTTTGTAGTTGAGTCAAGTCATTGAAGGTTGATTATTATCTTCATTTAGTTATAGCTCAAACATGAACGTTCACTTTCTACATTTTGTTTTAATGTATTTATTTATTTTTTGTTGATATATTATTGACTTTCACTTTTATATTGAAACACAGGGATGTAGTTTCTGGGCTTGTTCATTTGCATGAACTAGGAATAATACATCGGGATTTGAAACCCCAAAATGTTTTGATAATAAAAGAAAGATCTTTATGTGCAAAGCTTTCTGATATGGGAATTAGCAAACGCCTCCTTGAAGATATGTCTTCTCTGGGTCATAGTACTACTGGTGAGTAGAAGAATTTATATAATGGTGTCTAGCATGGGATGACTATCTTTGTATGATATTACTGAAGTTTTTCTCTCATTCCTTTTATTTAAGCTAGGTTGGCATCCTTTAACACATGAACAACTTTTCAGGATTTTTTCTCAGGGATTTTTCCTAGTTTTGTTAATATGTTTTTCTGAATACAAAATAAGTTAATCTAAACGCATATTTAGTCTTATCCTGCATTATTAATCTTATAATAAGGTTTAATGTCTTATTTTCAGGCTGTGGCAGTTCAGGTTGGCAAGCACCAGAACAACTTGTTAAAGGACGCCAAACACGAGCGGTAGATTTATTTAGTTTAGGTTGTGTCCTCTTTTTCTGCATGACTGGAGGAAGACATCCATTTGGAGAACGTCTTGAACGTGATATCAATATTGTGAAAAATCAAAAGGACCTTTTCTTAGTGGAGTTCATTCCCGAAGCTGAGGATCTTATTTCTAGTTTGTTAAACCCTAACCCCGATCTAAGGTATGTCATTTTCATTCAATGTGAGTTTTCGGAGGATTGAGTTTTACTCTCTCATACATTTATTAATAGTTTGCATCTTGTTATGAATTACTTAATTGTAGTGTAGTATAAAGGATGGGTTTACATATGAAATGTTAATACACCATTACATTTGAGGATCCGGCTTTTTGGTTTGCTAGATGCTATCCATGTATCGTACGTCAATTGAGTTTTTTTCCTCTATAGTATATAAAGTTCTATTTAACGTGAATGTTTATAAATGGAAAGATATTATTCTATTTTGATAAATCTATAATAATCAGAATTTTGTATATTATAAGTTGTTGAATATATGCGAATATTTATGGGACTTCTCTTAAATTGATCCTAAAATTGGTCAGAAATCAGAATGGGTGAAACAAAAATTATGTGATTTAATAAAACTTCCCCCAATTAGATATGGAGGTATTCATCTTGAATATAGTAGAGATTAGAGAACAGTCACTCAAGTTGTTATGGACCTGATGTAACCCTTGTTACTGATACTTATTTTCATTGATCTTCAATGAGTGTTATTGAAAAATCTCCGTTTAATGGTGCTGGCGGGCGATGCACCTTCACTGACTTTTTAGTTCTAGCAGCAGTTAGGACATTACAAGATGGTTCTTCTTGTAAGGATATTCATTTAGTGCTTTTGGGCCATGGATGAATCCTATATCAAGAAGCTGGTTGAAAAGTATCTCTTATTTAGGGAAATTGAATCTCTTCTAGTCTTATTTAGCGAAAATATCATTTTTTTAGATCTATATTATTTTGATTGTATAGTTGTATTTCTTTGTTTCCTTGTTTACTTCATTCCCTTTTATTAGTGATTGTGAATCTTGTATATATGAAGAATCTTACTGGGGTTATTTTCCGAATCAATTCAACTATATTTTGTCTCCCTCAAGAAGTCTTGATTAATTATGCAAGATTCTGGTACCAATGAACTTGTTTGATTTCTCAATGTTCTCTATCTGTATGTCTCATATCAGGAAAATGTTTTATTTTGTAGTACCCTTTTTTTTTTATCTTAAATTAAGATTCTTTTTTTTATTGAAGATGTGTGCAATTGTGTTGTGGTGTGACCTTGTCATTCAGTCAGTCAGAGAGTTTGTGTCAAGTGGTTTATTCTCTTCAAAAGATTCAAAATATGCTATAATATTAGTGCAAATTACAGGCCAAGGTGATTTGCCTTGCACATGCATGCAGAGGCATGGTTGGAACAAAATATTTTTCCTTGGTATGTTATTGAAGGGATCATGTTGTATGAATAGCCAAATTGACGTGAGATTTGATTTGCATAAATTATGATCAGATTCAGAGGGACTGTATGATATTATATATTTTTGTGTTTGTGTTTGTCTTGTTACAAGCAAGCAATCATTTGAAGAAATTATTCATTTATTCTCAGGCCAAAAGCTATTGAAGTATTGCATCATCCTCTTTTTTGGAGCTCTGAGATGAGACTTTCATTTCTTCGCGATGTAAGTGACAGGGTGGAACTTGAAGATAGAGAAACTGATTCTGATCTTTTGAAGACACTAGAAAGCAGTGCTCCACTGGCTTTAGGTGCAAAATGGGATGAGAAGCTGGATCCTGATTTCATTACTAACATTGGTCGTTACAGGAGATATAAATTTGACAGTGTTCGAGACTTGTTGAGGGTTGTGAGGAACAAGCTAAATCATTATAGAGAATTGCCTCAAGAAATCCAGGTTTTTTTTCTTGGACTAGCATTTTCTCATGGTATTTCTTTTTCTCTGGGTGAAAAACATGAAACTCTTTGTTCACTGTAGAAGTCTCGTGTTAAATAGCCCAATGTTGATTTAAAAAATTGTAGCAATTAGCAGGAAATGATTGTCAAGTTTTCCTAGGTGTCAATAAATACGTTTAGCAAAGAAAAAATGTAGCTTCTCTTGCTCAGAATCAGTTCTAAATGGCATGGTCAACTCCAGTTTTCAAATGTACCGTATACCAATTATACTAAGTAGTCTCCTGAATATTTTATGACTGTATTTTAGTAATTTTTCATTTTAATATGATTTTGCCTTGCCATATCCACAATGTTTTGTTTTTTCTTTTTTCACAATCAACTCCTAAAACATTTCTCCAATATCTTTCAAAATGAAACTTATTTTCCACTAAAACTATATATGTCCATTTAAACTTCTACTTTACTAAATATATCTCTGAACTCTGGTATTTTATTGTAATGATAGTTGTCACTTAAACAACATATTCATTATAGAAAATATAATAGTAAAACATTTTTTGTAGAGTATGAAGCTTATTGTGCACTGAGTCTTAAGCCAAGTACACCGACCATGAGTGCACATCTTAATGATGATAATGCTAATGATTGGTTGTTATGATAGTGTTGTAACTTTGTGGTCACACTAATGACGTTATCTTGTGTGGTGATTGGAAAATGCAAATGTTTATTCGTCTTAGATGTCCTGTTTATTTATTTATTTAATTAGTGAATAACAACTTTGTCGTTGTGCTTGAATTTAAGCTTTTAATTTCCATAATGCGGTTCATTGAAAATCAATTGTTTGAATTTACTATCCTTATTTTATTTCCTGGTAATAGCTTTTTATATAAAAATTAAAAAATACATCTTTATTAACATATGGTACTATCTTCCAAGACCATAAACTTATATGATAATATATAAGGCAAATTACACTCACATTCCCTAAGGTTTAATGATATTATACTCTATATTCCTTCTTTTTTAACCACAGATGGACTTCTCTCTATTCATATAACAATATTATATTATGCTGTTTATTTACCTTTTCTAGTAAAACCAACTTTTTTATGCAATTCAAAAAGAAAAGAGGAAACATAAGGCTGAAACAAGAGTGTTTAAGAAGGTGGGGTGTTTTGATTATACGGGGTAATCTTGTGAAGGAAACACGAGATGGTTTCAGAGGAAATTTCCTTTCATTGCCTTTTTTATTTTATATTTCCGATCATTTGCATGATTGGGTAGTTACAGGATTTACGATCACATGGGTAGGGTTGGAGGTTATTAGTAGGAGTTTAAGACGAAATATATGAGCACAATTTTCAGTCAGGAATGGATATTTCTACTCATTTCCAGCATAATGTCTCCGCTGTGCCCATTTTTATGATTCTTTGATATCACTTTTCCTTTTTATTTTTTTTTATTTTATGAATGTGAATGTGAATGTGTAGGTAATTTGTCATAATACACATTAACCAATGCCAATAACATGTGAACGAGTTGGTCATCTCTGTATATAGCTTCTAATTTATTTCCTCTTGCTTATCAGGAACTGATAGGACCTGTTCCGGAAGGATTCAATGACTACTTTGCTAGTCGATTCCCAAGGCTCTTGATTGAAGTGTACAAAGTTATATGCAAAAATTGCAAGGATGATGAATGTTTTCAAAGATATTTTAGATACAATAACTAGTGCCTTGGTCTTGCTTGGATGTCTTGAGAATTAATCAATAGAAATACAGCGGTTGGTTGCAGCATGGAGCCAAATGAGTTTACATTTACAAAGTGGAGCAATGGACTTGTAATGTAGTATAATGTAAATATGTTGCCACTTGACACTGACTACTCTAACCCAAAGTTACAATGGAATGGCATCATTATTGCCCCTACTGTTTATTAGACTTTAGAGGTTTCAGCTAAATGTACATTAATTTATTTTACAAGGCTATGGCCTGGGTAATTCTCTCAAATCATGTAGAATTAAGAATTACAAAAACTTTATGTATCAGAATTTCTCATACATCAGAGACCTAGTTTTGGAGGTCACAATGCTATACAAACAAGAATTGGAACTAGGCCATTTGTCCGTTAGCTCATGTAAACCAAAAAAATGATTATGATATCTCAAAGATATCCCGTGATTAAATTTTTCATCTGATTTCGCTTTATATTTTGTATTCTATTACAGTCTAATAGAAGGAGCGGAAGTTGGAAAGCCAGCCATGCACATCCCGTGCTCTAACATCCCCGTGCAGTTCTAAACTGACATTATATATAGGTTAAATTTAAGTTTTGGTCTCAAATCCTTTTAATTTGATTCATGTAAGATATGCAAATCATATATTGTATATGCGAAATTGTTTCGGTTCATTCCTATTGCCTTCAAATATGATAACACCATTTATCCGTTTCATGTGGCTCAGAATATGAATTGACGTTTATTGTATCAGATTAGCTGTGTTATGTTATGTTTCTGGTTTCATATGTAACCCTCATGTATAATGGGTGCTTACCCATAAAATTGTACATCCGTTGTCTGTAGTTGTGATAAATTGTGGGAATTGCAGTTTTCACTGCGTTCATTGTGATCACACTGGCTAAGAAACAAAGTAGCTTGAGAAAATCGTATTTGTTAGGAACCTCTCTGCAAATTGAAATGCAGGACATGAAATGTACGTGATGATTAAGAAGATGTAGGAGCTGCAAGAGGAGGATGATAGTGTTCCACGACATGTAGCAGTACATACAACTCTAGCAACTAATTATAGTCAAAGCAGGAAAGTATTAGTACAGCACATGGAAATGGTGGGTGGTCATTGTCATCTTATTTTGTTTCCTGCGAAGGCTCGTTGTTATGCTAAGGGTATTAGAGTAAAGCTATGATTGTCTATCCAACGACAGTCTCAACCATGTTCACGTTGGTAAGCCTTTACATTTAACTTATTGCTTATGTATTTTTTACATTCATAAGACAAATAACTGATGTTACGTTATATAATCCATTGGCCTCATAAGGAATTATATATATATTATTTATTTATTTATTTCTGCTGAATGTGGTTTTACATATATTAACTGAATCAAAAACTATTTTTTTTGGTAGAAAGACCAAGTTAAAAATAAGTATTACATACCAAAAGCTTTAGATTATCCAACGAATATTTAATAGGGGAAAAAATACTAGTTGCAGTAGGGATGAAGAGGATTGCAGATGTAATAAGAGACTATAGATAATCGTGCAGAAATGGCAACAGTTGGTCATACTTTGCTAGCACATTCACTTCTGCGTGAAGCATATCCCCTTATTGGAGTTGATGGATGACTCGATGCTTCTGTATGAAATCCTCTCCTTTTTCCTTCTCTTGGACCGGCTCTTAATGGTCTCTTCCTTTTCATCTACAAATGAAAGGAAAGTCTTAAGTCGTGAAGATCTTGATGATCCTGACCTTTGGTCAGTGGACCGAAGTTCCTCTGGGTAATGCTTGTGGTATTGCTTCCAAATATGTATAAGATGTATGAAGAGTGCAAGCAAACAGGCTAGCCCACAGATCACATAGATGCCCCAAAAGCTTTTAAGTTGGAGTCTTTCCACTTCTAGCTTTGCACCCTGTGATATGCAAGCTCGACTTAAAAGCCATTTGTCATGGATCCTTTGTAAATCTCCACTATCTATCATTTGCAATATGGAAGTTGACAGGTCAACTGCTAATTGCGAGTCTCGTGGAAAGGCCTGAAGAAATATAAAGGATGAGAAGACATGTTACCATAAGCTGGCAACTTTAAATGTGGGAACAAACAATCAAGAATCCTGAACTAGATTCCAGGACCGGTAATAGAACTTATTATTTTCAATAATGTAAAAATTAAAAGGTAATACTAATTTCTTTCAACTTTTGTTAAATTTCATCTTAATATCCATTGACATTAAGTGAAGTTGTTCAATAGATATATAAGTTGCATAGTTGCATCCCAAGAAGTGAGACGTGATGTGAGACCTTCCAATCCCCACTCCTACCTTCTCCATAGATATCTACCAAAATAGGCAAGACTACTAGAATAAACAATTTATCAAGATGAACAATAGACTCTAATGTCATGTTAAATTTCATCTTAAAATAAATTGACATCGACTGAAGTTGTTCAATAGATATATGAGTTGCATCTCAAGAATTGAGACATCTGAAGTGAGTTTTTCTAACATTTCCCTTCTTACTAAGAATAACAAGTTGAATTCAGTTTATTTGAGCAATAAATAGATTAAGAATATGCTCCGGGAAGATTGATCAATTAAAGCTTTCAATATATAAAGAAAATCACATCTTTGTTTTTTCCCCTTTGCCTCCAAAACAAAGTTGTATGTATAGTTAGATGCTATTGATGTTTTATGATTACATGCTTTTACAAACTGTACAAACGTTTTTAGTGGACTCTTGACTCATCGTTAAGGGCATGCATGGCAGGAAGAATTGAAGAATTTAAAGATTAGAACAAGATAAGGTGATATTTTGTTGGTGAAAAATCCCCTTTTTATGCACAATGAAGATCAAAGGGTATGGATATACATAAACAACACAAATATAAAATAGTGGAGACATGGATTTAACGTATTTTGACACTTGATGCTTACATCCACTAAAATTAGAGATGACAAATAAGTTTATTTATCCATCATCCATTCGATTCATCTACAAGCAGGTCCATCTAATTTATTCATTATAATAAAAATAAATAATGGATCAAATTCAATCTATCGATTTAGTTTTATAGATAGTTAGTAATCCACCCACTACTTTTTCACAATCCATTAAAATTTTAAAATTTTATTTTAACATAAAAAGTGTTTTGTTAATTTTAAAAGACTATATAAAATATAATGACTTATAAAGAAAAGTGAAAGAAATAAGATATTTTAAAAAATAAAAATTATTTAATTTTTAAGTATTATTTTTATTGATGATTGAATATCCATCCATGAAAAAGTTATTAATGGATGAATTAGATGAAATTTTTTGCTTTAAATAAATTAATTGGATTGGATTTTTTTGTGAACTTTTAATGAATCTAAATAGATTAATGAATTATTTTTATTCAATCCATTATGATTAGCCTAAAAAGTTATCTGATATATTCATTTGTCATTCTTAATCGGAACATCGTAACAAACATTTATTATCTCAAATCACATTACAAGTTTTTCGGATAAACTTGAGAAACTCTCCATTACAACCCCCTCCTCCTTCTCACATAGGGCAATAATTCTTTTTCAACCTCTGAATAAGTGGTATCTCTTCTCATTACAATATCTTTTTTTATAGTCGAGATTTAAGACTATAATCATAAATGTCTCACCTCTTCATTTACTTCTCATGATGATAGTGGGGTTTTTCAAGAGTCAAGATACATTTAGCACCTTTTGTATGTATCTCTTAACTTTCCACTTTCTTCATTTATTTGGAAATATTAATTGTTAATTTTTTAACATATTTCTATTGCATGCAAGTATTGGGGGGGATTTCATCAATACGCAAGCCATGTGAAACCTTCCAAGTATGGGTTTTGGTAATGTCTGTCTTAGAAACTATGCAATGTAATATCTAACAATCATTAAAAAAAATTGTAAATTGCAAGTAGTTACAGTTGATTCTTAGAAAAGGAAAAGAAAAAAAATGTAAATTGTAAAGAGTAAAGACCATTTGGAAGATACTTACAAATCCCCAACCGTTTCTAGTGAACTCTTGACCTACAACAGTTAAATCACAACGGCTGGAGAGGAAGATGTCAATGTAGGCACGCTCATCAATGTATGCAGCAACACCGCCATTTTGGGGACCCTTTCTCAGTGCTTTAGCAGCTTCTTCCGGTGTTGTTAGAGGAACAAGCCTGGATTCATCGATACCAATTTCCTGAACTAAATAATTTCCAGCAAATGAGCCCTGCTTGTACCCAATAGGCTCTTTGCCATTTACTAAACTTTCAATGCCTTTAATGGGTGAATAAAGCTGTTGCACTGTGAGGATTGAGGTTAGACTTGCCGTGTAACTTGAGTTAATTATAAGAACTACAAATAACCATATGATCAACACAAAGCGACCAAGTGTGCTCACTGTATTTTCCCCTGCATGGTATAGAGAAACACAACTTAATTAATCGAAGGGAAACTACCACATTGACCATAGATGTCATAATAGACAGAGAACTGGTACTTACGGTGGGAAAAGAACATTGTTGAAAAACTAAACCTGCCAGATGCAACACAAACAAGTTACAAACATAAATAACAAGCTATATACAGGCAGAGATAATAGGGAAATTGAAACCTCTTTTTAATTATGGCTTGTATCATTAACATTTGTTGTGTTCTAAAAATGTTAGAATATGGTGAGCCTTGTAAACGGGGGGAAATACAAGATTTCCTTACCATAAAACAGTAACTAATTGTTTTTTGGGTGGTCCCCTAAATTCATCATTCACCTTATGCTCCAAAATCCAAACAACAGCTCCCACTAATATGAAAAAGATCGCTATGACAAACCACATCATTGGTGTAAACGGGGCCAAAAAGGGCAAAGCACTAGATTCTGCTCTCCTAACTGGTGCTACTACCACTAGACCAGACTCAATATATGGCTGAGTAAAATCCACCATCCTTGTTCTTTCTGAAGTAATTGCAATGTCACCTACTGCACCATCAAATTCCTGCACAGGATGAAGAAAATTGGTCCGAGGTTATAATAAAAATCCAAACTCCACACAATTATTGGCTTGATACTTGTTAGAAAATGTAATTGTCAGTAGAACAATAAAACATTAAAACCATAAAAACAGAGAAAAGGAAAGTGAGAGAACAAAACAATCACGTATTTGTTGGATAACTATACTATTTTACATATTTTTTATTCATATAGAAGGCAAGTACATTAGAAAATGACATCCATATATCATGCTCATACATGCCGTCGACAAAAACATGTATTTATCATCATTAAGTGTATAGATTTGTCAAAAATCAAGTATTTAGAAGGACATTACTCATTAAATTGAACAAATATAATTGCAATAGAAAAGCAACCATAATTAATTACCACAGTAAAAAAGAAAGAAATTTTTTTACTGGTTTAACAATACTCACACCCGTTGTGATCAGACGAGTAAGCTCAGTCATACTAGGATTGTTCTTGCCATCTCCATATGTGACGAACTTATAGGGAACAGCATAAGACAGCAGGTTAACTGCAGCAAGAAATACATCAATGCAGAATCCCTCAAACAAATGAGTGCCTTTTATTTGCGAGACAAACTCGGGGTAACTAACGCTTTTTGGTACTACAATCTTTAAGACCCTTCCATTGTTTGGAAAAACCCAACCGCGAGGTCTCTGAACGGTGTTTCCAGGCCAAATCACAGGGAACAAGTTTTGATTTTCCCTGCAAAGACTGGCTGGTTTGGAATGAAGTTTTTCTGGAGGAACAACTGATAATCCAGAGTAATTAGACCAATAACCGATCCTTCGAGTTCCTGTTCCGACCACATTAATGATTTCATATGCAGGATTAACAAGGTTTCTGTCAGATGTATACTTGATTGGACCTGACACACCAGTCATGTTAATCTCATAAATGTTATTGCGTAATAAATTTCCTTCATTAAAAATTTTCAAGGCATCAAGATGCAAGTTGTCTCCATGTAGGCTAGATAGCTTTGAATCAGTTGAGAAAGTAATTTGGTTACCTTGTTTGAAAAATGCATCAAGTCCATGAGCAAGCATATAAATAGTGTCATATGCATAAAGAGCTAAAAAACTTAATCCAAGGGGGACATTAGCATTATTTCCACTGGTCATGTTTTTCCACTTAGAAACAAACCTCCTTTTGAGCTCTGAATCTGTCGTGTATATACGCAGTGTAAGAACTCCTTGAATTTCATCCATTGCTTCTGAAGAGAGGGGATTGTTGATATCAAGCAGAGAAGAGAGGAAAGCAGTGGCTATCCAGACATACCCAGCTTTCATCATCCCAAGATTATTTGCAACAGTAAACACCTTGGGGCCCCATTGAGTATCGGCATGAACAACTATTACCCGTGAATCTGCCAGAGCCACCTGAACAAGCACATTAGTAATCTCTTCAAGAGATGCTTCGGGGCTCAAAGGTGCTTTATATGATATCCTGCACCGCTTCTCAGCCAGCTTATCACCTAATGCACCAATTCCATTTCTCCCATTATCATCATCAATGTAGACAGCAATAACATCTTTCCAACCATAGTAGTCAACAAGGTCTGCTATTGCAGCCATTTGATAAAGATCACTATGACAAGTTCTAATGAAGAATGGGAATTCAAGTGAAGAGAGGGTAGGGTCCAAAGCTGAAAATGACAGCAGAGGAACTTGAAGCTCATTTGCAATATGAGTTATGACATGAGCTGTTACAGAGCTATGAGGGCCAATTATTGCCACCGTTTTTCTTGCCATGACCTGCAAAACTGTAATCACATAGAACTATAATCTGACAAAGTTGAAGTAACTTCATCTGTGGCTGAGAAAGATCTTTTTTAAACTTTAACACAAGGGTGATACTGTGAAAGACATACCCTCAACAATGCTCAGGAAACCTCTATACTTTGAATCTTCTTGCAGTGAGAGGTTCAGCTTGGTTTGACCAAGAATATTTGGATTAGAATTTACATCTTCAACTGCAGCTTCTATAGCAATTTGTATACTTCTACCAACACTGGTATTAAAAGAGAAGAGAGCCCCAATATTTACATAATATGGTCTTGTGGAATTATTCCTGCCCTCCCCAGTTGAAGCGTACCCATTGGAGATAACCATCAAAGCCAAGAGCCAAACTTTAATCATGTTGGATGAGTTGCCTATATAACAATTGCGACTAATGATCACCGTCTTCCACAAACAACTGAAGCAACATCTCCACTTTTTTATTTTCTGAAATACAAAATTACAACTACTAAATTAATATCCCAGAAAGAGGTTTCAACATAACAAATTCAAAAGCCAAACATAACAACATATGTAAAGCAAATCTTAAACACACAAGCAAGATGAGAAAGAAAAAAGCACTAAAGTGCCCGCTAATAAAGGAAACAAGCATAGGATTGCAAGGACAATAACTAGTGCCTTGGCCTTGCTCGGATGGCTTAAGAATTAATCAATAGAAATAGAGCGGTTGGTTGCAGCTTGAAGCAAAATGAGTTAACATTTACAGAATGGAGCAAAATGTGTTTACATTTACCTAATGGAACAATCGACTTCTATTGACTACTCTAACTCAAACTTACCATGGAATGGCATCTGTATCGTCCTTGGTGTTTAGACTTTAGGATTCAGCTAACTGTACATTAATATATTTTATAAGGCATTGGGGAGGGTAGGAGGGGATCTTAAATGATCTCTTGTAGTGTATTTTACCTATAAGTAATGACATTTACTAGTAACTCTCATTGGAGTGTGATACGCCCCAGAAAATTGCTTAAAAATAAATGACTCTAAAGTAAGTAATGTTACTCATAAATAAATTACTCTCGTAAATAAAAAATTAGTCATGCATTATTAACTTTTCATCTTTCATGAATCATAAATTAATCACCTATAATGTTATATATTTTTCATGGTTATGTAATTTTTTTACTTTTAATATTTAATATTTTTTATACACATTAAATTAGTTATGTGAATTTTATTATTTTATATGTAAAAATATTATTTATTATGTTTAATTCAATTAATATTTAATTATAATAATTACATTAATTTTTTAAGTGGTCAAAAAGTGAAGTGTAAATAAAAAATTATAAAATAAGGATTGTTTATAAGATCCAATCATCGAAAAAAATTGTAAAAATATAATATAAATTATTTAAGAATAATGTGACATGATAGATCTCATTTAAAATAAAATAGCAATCTTAATAAATTACTTGTAAGAACTACAATTAAAGATGTTTTAAAAACTTTGTATCATATCAGAATTTCTTGTACATCATAGACCTATTATGGATGTCATAATGCTATGCAAACATGAATCGGAACCATTTAGTTTGTCCGTTAGCTCATGTGAACCAAAATAAATGATTATTATGACATATCAAAGATATCCCGTGATTAGATTTTTCACCTGATTTCGCTTTATACTTTGTATTGTATGACAGTCTATAGAAGGAGCGGAAGTTGGAAACCATACTCATCCCGTGCTCTAACTTCACGTGCAGTTCTAAATTGACATTATACACAGGTTAAATTTAAGTTTTGCTCTCAAATCAGTGTAATTTGATTCTTGAAAATATGCAATCAAATATTGTGTGCCAATTATTTTCGGCTTACTCCTATTGTGTACAATTATAATACACACCAATTATTCGATTATGTGGCTCTCAAATTATGAATTGATGTTTCTTTCTATCAGACTAGCTGTGTGAAGTTATGTTTCTAACTTCATATGTAACCCTAATCCACAATCTGTCTTTACACATAAAAAGTCTGTTTGGATAATTTTTTCAAAAGCACTTCTAAGAGAAAAAAAATAGAAAGAGAAAATGAAATGAATTTCTCCAGGATTTAAAATTAGTTTATACATAAACTAAAATCAACTTATATATAAGCTAATTTGTAAAAATCCAAAATCTTATTTTTAACTCATTCATAATTTAGTTTTAATTAATAAAAAAAATTATTTTTCTCTTCTATAAGTGCTTTTAGAAAAAATTATCCAAATAGGTTCAAAATTGAACATTTGTTGTCTGTAGTTATGATAAATTGTGAACTGCACACAACAACTAGTTCATTTTTCCTCCTTTTCTCCCTTCACATGCACAAAAGAAGTAAAAACTTTTCTTCCACTTAGATCTTGATTTACTGTTAGAATTGCAGTTTTCACTGTGTTCAATGTGATCACACTGGCTAGGAAACAAAGTAGCTTGAGAAAGTCATAATTGTTAGAAACCTCTCCACAAATTGAAATGCAGTGTATGACTTGTACGTGAAGATTAAGAAGATGGTGGAGCTTCAAAAGGAGGAAGATATTGTTCTACGAGATGTAGAAGTACACGCTCTAGCAACTAAATATGGTGTCAAGCAGGAAAGTGTTATTACAGAATATGGAAATGATGGGTGGTCATTGTCATCTCAATTTGTATCCATTGAAGGCTCGTTGTTATGCTAAGGCTATTAGAGTAAAGCTATGATGGTCAATCCAACGATGGTCTCAACCTTGCTCACGTTGGTAAGCCTTTACATTTAACCTACTGCTTATGTAGTTTTCATCTTCATTAGACAAATAACTGATGTTATGTTATAATCCATTCCATTGACCACATAAGACAAATAGTGACACTGTTATCATGATTGCAATCTGCAAGTGAATTGAAATTGATTTTACATATATAAACTGAATCAAAACCTTTTTTTTTTTTTTGTATAAAGACCAAGTTAAAAGTGAGTGTTACATATAGCTAGCAAAAGTTTTAATTTATCCAACGTATATTTACTAGGGGGAAAAAAGTACTAGTAGGCCACTATTTGCAGTAGGGATGAGGAGGGTTACAGATGTAATAAAAGGCTAGAAAATCGTGCAGAAATGGCAACTGTTGGTCATACTTCGCCAGCACATTCACTTCTGCGTGAAGCATATCCCTTATTGGAGTTAATGGATGAGCTTCCCTCACTGCTTCTGTATGAGATCCTCTCCATTTTCCTTCTCTTGGTCCGGCTCTTAATGGTCTCTTCTTTTTCATCTGCAAAGGAAAGGAAAGTCTTAAGACGTGAAGATCTTGATGATCCTGGGCTTTGGTCAGCCGACTCAAGTTCTTCAGAGTAATGCTTGTGGTATTGCCTCCAAATCTGTATTAGATATATGAAGAGTGCGAGCAAACAGGCAAGCCCACAGATCACATAGAGGCCCCAAAAGCTTTTAAGTTGGAGTCTTTCCACTTCAAGCTTTGCACCTTGTGATAAGCAAGCACTACTCAAAAGCCATTTGTCATGGATCCTTTGTAAATCTCCACTATCTATCATTTGCAATATGGCAGTTGACAGGTCAACTGCTAATGGCGAGTCTCGTGGAAATGCCTGAAGAAAAATGAAGGATAAGAAAACATATTACCATAAGATGGCAAATTCAAATATGGGAACCAACAATCAAGTCGGGTATATTATTAATGCAGAACTAGGTTCCAGGTACCGGTAATAAAACTTATTATACTCAATAATGTAAAAATTAAAAGGTAGTTTCCTTCAACTTTTTCCACCCACCCAAGAATAACAAGTTGAATTCAGTTCAATCGAGTAGTAAATAAATTAAGGATTTATTTGGATAAACTTTTTTAGAAGAAAGAATGAAATTCGTTTTTCCATAAACTAAAATTGGCTTATATACAAGTCAGAAAACATATGTTGAAGAAACTTATTTCTTTTTGTCTTTCCTTAGAAGAGTTTATGGAAAAGTTTATTCAATTAGACCCTAAAAATATGCCATAGGGAAAATTGATCAAGCTTACAATCAATATATACAGAAAATCACGTCTGTTTTTCCTAGTTTTCCTCCAAAACAAAGTTGTATACTTGTATGTATGGTCAAATGCTACTGATGTTTTATGAATACATGACTTTACAAACTGTACAAATGTACCAGCGGACTCTTGACTCTCGCTATCATTTATTATCATGCATGGCATGAAGAATTGAAGAATTCAAAGATTAGAAACAGCTAGGATGATATTTCTATTGCATGCAAGTATTTATATGGGCTTTGGTAACATCTGTCTTAGAAACTATTTGATGCAAAGTATAACCATCTAATAAACATTCCAAAAATTGTAAATTGCCAGTAGTTACACATGCTTTTTAGAAAAGGAAAAGAAAAAACCAATGTAAATGTAAAGACCATGACGAAGATACTTACAAATCCCCAACCGTTTCTGGTGAACTCTTGACCTACAACAGTTAAATTACATCGGGTGGAAAGGAAGATGTCCATGTAGGCACGCTCATCGATGTATGCAGAAACACCCCCATTTTGGGGACCCTTTCTCAGTGCTTTAGCAGCTTCTTCTGGTGTTGTTAGAGGAACAAGCCTGGACTCAACAATACCAATTTCCTGAACTAAATAATTTCTAGCAAAAGAACCCTGCGTGTACCCAATAGGCTCTTTGCCACTTAATAAACTTTCAATGCCTTTAATGGGCGAATAAAGCTGTTGCACTGTGAGGATTGAGGTAAGACTTGCCGTGTAACTTGAGTTAATTATAAGAACTACAAATAACCATATGATCAACACAAAGCGACCAAGTGTGCTCACTGTATTTTCCCCTGCATGATATAGAGAAAAGCAACATGATTAATCGAAGAGAAGCTACCACTTTGACCATAGATGTCATAATAGACAAAGAACTGGTACTTACGGTGGGAAAAGAACATTGTTGAAAAACTAAACCTGCCAGATGCAACGCAAACAAGTTACAAACATAAATAGCTAAAACCAAAGCTATATACCAGCAAATATAGCAAGATAATTGAAACCTCTTTATAATTATTGCATGTATCATTAACATAGGTTGTGTTCTAAAAAATTTCAATGTGGTGAGCTTTGGAAAAGAGGGGAGATACAAGATTTCCTTACCATAAAACAGTAATTAATTGTTTTTTGGGTGGTCCCCTAAATTCATCATTCACCCTATGCTCCAAAATCCAAACAACAGCTCCCACTAATATGAAAAAGATAGCTGTGACACACCACATCTTTGGTGTAAACGGAGCCAAAAAGGCCAAAGCATTGGTTTCTGCCCTCTTAACTGGTGCTACTACCACAAGACCAGACTCAATATATGGCTGAGTAAAATCCACCATCCTTGTTCTTTCTGTAGTAATTGCAATGTCACCAACAGCACCATCAAATTCCTGCATGGGATGAAGAAAATTGGTCTCAGAAGATTATCATAAAACATCCAAACTCCACACAAAATCATTGGCATGATACTCACGCCGGTTGTGATCAGACGAGTCAGCTCGGTCATACTAGGATTGTTCTTGCCATCCCCATATGGTACGAACTTATAGGGGACAGCATAAGACAACAGGTTCACTGCAGCAAGAAATACATCGATGCAGAATCCCTCAAACAAATCGGTGCCTCTTATTTGGGAGACAAATTCATGGTAAAAAACACCTTTTGGTACTCCAATCTTTAAGACCCTTCCATTGTTAGGGAAAACCCAACCACGAGGTCTCTGATCGGTGTTTCCAGGCCAAATCACAGGGAACAGCTTTTGACTTTGCCTGGAAAGACTGGCTGGTTTGGACTGAAGAGTTCCTGGAGCGACAACTGATAATCCAGAGTAATTAGACCAATAACCGATCCTCCGAGTCCCTGTTCCAACCACATTAATGATTTCATATGCAGGATTAACAAGGTTTCTATCAGATGTATACTTGATTGGACCTGATACACCAGTCATGTTAACCTCGTAAATATTACTGCGTAACAAGTTTCCTTCATTAAAGATTTTCAAGGCATCAAGATGCAAATTGTCTCCATGTATGCTAGATAGCTTTGAATCAGTTGAGAATGTAATTTGGTTACCTTGTTTGAAAAATGCATCAAGTGCATGAGCAAGCACATAAACAGTGTCATATGCATAGAGAGCTACAAAACTCAATCCAAGGGGGACATTAGCATTATCTCCACTAGTCAAGTTTTTCCACTTAGAAACAAACCTCCTTTTGAGCTTTGAATCTGGTGTGTATATACGCAGTGTAAGAACGCCTTGAATTTCATCGATTGCATCTGAAGAGAGGTGATTTTGAATATCAAGCAGAGCAGAGAGGAAAGCAGTGGCTATCCAGACATACCCAGTTCCCATCATCCCAAGATTATTCGCAACAGTAAACACCTTGGGCCCCCATTGAGTATTGGCATGAACAACTATTACTCGTGATTCTGCCAGAGCCACCTGAACAAGCACATTAGTAATCTCTTCAAGAGATGCTTCAGGGCTCAAAGGTGCTTTATATGATATCCTGCACCGCTTCTCAGCCAGCTTATCACCTAATGCGCCAATTCCATTTCTCCCATTATCATCATCAAAGTAGACAGCAATAACATCTTTCCAACCATAGTAGTCAACAAGGTCTGCTATTGCAGCCATTTGATAAAGATCACTATGACAAGTTCTAATGAAGAATGGGAATTGAAGTGAAGAGAGGGTAGGGTCCAAAGCTGAAAATGACAGCAGAGGAACTTGGAGCTCATTTGCAATATGAGTTATGACATGAGCTGTTACAGAGCTATGAGGGCCAATTATTGCCACCGATTGTCTTGCCATGACCTGCAAAACTATAATCACATAGAACTATAATCTGACAGAGTTGAAGTAATTTCATCTGTGTTTTAAGCTTTAACAAACAAGAAGGGTGATACCATGAAAGACATACCCTCAGCAATGCTCAGGAAACCTCTATACTTTGAATCTTCTTGCAGTGAGAGGTTCAGCTTGGTTTGACCAAGAATATTTGGATTAGAATTTACATCTTCAATCGCAGCTTCTATAGCAATTTGTACACTTTTACCAACACTGGTATTGAAAGAGAAGAGAGCCCCAATATTTACAAAATCTGGTATTGTGGAATTATTCATGCCCGCTCCAGTTGAAGCGTATCCATTGGAGAAAACCATCAAAGCCAAGAGCCAAACTTTAATCATGGTTGGATGAGTTGCCTATACAACAATATCCACTAATTATCACCCTTCTCCACAAACAAGGGAAGCAACATCTTCACTTACTTTTTTCTATAAAAAAAAGTACAACTGCTAAATTAAGATCCCAGAAAGAGGTATTAACATAACCCCAAAATTAAGGGTGTTATTGCATTACATAACACATTCAAAAGCGAAAACATAACAACATATATATGGCAAATCTTAAACACACAAGCTAGATGGGAGAGAAAAAAGCACTAAAGTGCCTGCTAACAAAGGAAACATGTATAGGATTGCAAGGACAAGGACAAACAGCAACGTGTAAAGAATAGAACTTCCACCAAAAGGGTAATACAGGCCTGTTAGATTCCCAAAAAAAAGTGGCTTCTTTACCTAGCACCAATTTGGTGTAGAAAACGTGCAGCTTGTTTGAATTGGACAAAGTTTAACCAGTGGCACAGGAAGAGGGAACCAAAAGTAGTCGCAGAGGAAGACCATAAAAAGCATAATGGAATATGGAGAATCCGAGCACTGGGGAAAAAAAAGTAGAGGAAATTGAAGGGGGAAAGGAGATGACAAAAAGGCTAATGCTATGGTATGGCTATAGTTGGTGATGAGAAATATGGTCCATAAAAATTAATGCTTATGATCACATAGTATTTTTGTTCTCTTTGTCGTTATTTATTTGTATGATGGGAATAGAATAGCAATAGCAAAAGCAACAGTGACCCTTGGCATCAATAGCTTGGGCATTGAAATGAAAACACCTCATGTGTGAAATTGTCTTGAAAAAGTTGGAGATAATTGTCACTGTACAAAAGAGCACGAGGCAACAACGTGATATGAACCCCTCTGAACTTTGAGGACTCTCCTCTCTCTCTCAGAGGAGTGGGTCTGATTCTGAAACAGGACACAGAGTCACACATCATTGGATTGGTTGTGATTAAATCGGTGTCAATGACGTGGAATTTTCTTGAACGGAATATTCCATTTCCACGTTTTTATTTTATTGTTTACAACGAAGAAGACGACTTTGCGTAGAATAAATAATTAACAGAGTGTGAATACTGAATACTGAATACGTATATTCTATATTTAATATTTAATATATGAAATAATAACAGTATGTTTACGTTTTCATGTGAAATAATAAACTGGGCCTTTGGTTCAAAGTGGTAAATTATTGATGTGTTGCAGGTGTGATGATTATATAATGTAAAATCAAAGTAATGTAAGAATGGTTTAAGACCAATTGTTTTCAAATTAGTTTTAGGATTTTTTTTGTTTGGTTATGTATGAAAATAAAAGACAAGCAACAGAAAGTACGCCATCAATGTTTTAATTATAAATTAGTTTTAGGGTTTAATGATTATATATCCACAGAGTAAAAAATTTTAATTTTTTTAAAATCAAGAAATTTATTATATGACAATTTTTTATTGTAAGGCAATGTAAAAAAAAAAATTACACCATCAATATATAAATTATTTTCTCTTAGTTTTAAAAAAATTAATTTGAAGTTATGAAATGTAAATGAAATATGCATTTAAAATAAAAAAAAATTAATTAAAATATCGTTTAAAGTGTATATATGTAGGTGAATGTTTTCGCCACATTCATTGTATAAGAAGAATAAGAGAGAGGTGGGTGATGCTGTTGTATTCACACCACAAACAGAAAGTGCATTACCATTAACATCACCAACATGTTGGAGATTAAGATATATATCGTCATTCTAAATACAGTGGGACCGACTACCGAGATGAAAAAATAAAAAGAATACAACCTTAATTTCTTTCCGTGTCGCTGTCAGATCTCTCTTCACTATTTTTGCCAAAACCTGATTTACTCCAAATATCAATTAAATCATGCTCTATGAAATGAAATGGTGTCATTTACTTATGCATAGTTGCATTTTTTTTTATTTGTGTAGTATAGTGTTTATTTTCTATATTTTTTAATTGTGCAAATTTTTGTTTTTATATTTTTAAAGTGAAATTTACGGTACAAACTTGATTTATGCATTAAAAATTTTTAATTTAATTATTTAATTGTTAAAATTTAATATAAAATATTAGTTATTGAATAGAATAAATTAAGATAAATTTACTTTTTGAATAAGTGGATTTCTCCTCTATAATATTTTTATTTAGTAGTATTAAATAAATAAATATATATATATATATATATATAATTTCTATTGTAACAACCTTTCATAATCTCTACACTCAATGATTTAACTAATAGTAGTGGGAAAACATCTAACTACGTAGGATTAATATATAAACAATATTTGGATATATGCACAATAATATATACGTGTAAAAAGTTAAAACAACAACTAAAAGACTATAACAACTAGACAAGTATACAAATATGTACAAAACCCAGTATTGAATATTAATCCTAAATTGTCGGTTAAGCAACTTAACTACACTAGCTACATCAAAGTAGCCCAAAACAAAACACGGGTCTGCCACTAACTAGCATGGCCTCTAAGCAAACCTTATGCCTCTAATCTATCCCTCTCCTACTTTTATGTAAACATGATCATCACAATCCAACCACAAGGAAACAAACAGGGTTAAACTAGTATTCAAAAGAATAATTATGTATCTAGTATAAAAGTATAACAATTATACTACTGACACCAACATGTAAACCACACAACATGACACCTCATGGTTTACAACATAACAACATATGATAATTTCAACTTGTACCATGACACATACAATTTAGCAACAACTCAACATAACATATGAACATCACCACAACCAACACATTGTATGCATAACACCTGAACTACATGCATTGTCACACATTCACTTACAGAAATCCCCTACAATAAAGGTGAACAATCTAAGTGACGCAACCCTATCAAACCAACATGATCTTTTTACACCTACTGGATTAATAGTCAATTTGGATACCAATCCATAACATGGTTTCTTGGATTTTGTCACTTAAATTAGGAAGTCTAGTATTTCTCTCAGGATAGAACAACTTAAGTGTGAGTCTACCACAACATTAGCTTGCATAAATAAATCACTTATGGAATTAGCCTATTGACTACCTTTTAAATACTATGTCCTTTCAATACTTAGTTAGGAATTTTGTCCCCTAACCTTGTACCTTTCTCAGTTAGTTATTTTATATACGTATGTCTCAACCTTGCTCACATACGGATCAACATTGGTCACTTGTAATCAATATGGTTTGACATGGTCCTTATACTATGATCACTTATAGTCAGTATGCCTAGACCTTGCTCACATACTACATCAACTAAAGTCCTAAAGAAAACTCAACTATCTATTTCAAGAGTTAACTACTAAAAAAAGGATTTTCAACAACTAGGCTCGTAAAACATCACATCAAAATATCTTCACAATGAAATATCCAATTTTCGAAAATACCTTCTCCTTTAGTCTTAAGTGAATCAACACAACACACCTTGATGCCTTAATGCCTCACTAATTCTCAACATCATCGCCTCAACATTTCAACAATATAATCATCTATATACATTATTCCATATCAATGTATAGAGAACTAACAACATACATCAACATACAACATGTAATAAATTCAACTAACCTATACATATTTACCATTTTATTAAGAAAAAAAACACATTTTCATGAGGTAACTCATGTCTAGTAGTATTCTCTCCGCGCTTGACATCATTGAAGTTAGGAGCTATTGGTCTCGCACACATTCGACACTACTCATCCCACGACCGACGTGAATGAGACAAAGAGCCTTTGTTGGAGTCATGTCTAGCATGACTAAACTCATGTCCAACCCTATTTCAAGCAGAGAGTTTATGCCTGATGTCTGGCATCATTGAATTGACATCTATGTTGTCTAGGGTAGAAAGCCTCTGTCTAGATCATGTTTGATGCCCCCTTCTACAAGGGCCTAACATCACCTAGTCAAAGACATTACTTTCTCATCACACCTGACACCATTCAAATTATGTTAGACATGATCAAGTCAAAGACATTTGCCTCTCTTCATGTTTGACACCACCAATCTCACACCTAATTCAATCAAAGTAGAGAATCCCTAATTTGAGCTACGCCTAGCACGATGGAAATTTTTGCATATAGCAAAAACATAAAATTGCTCAATCCACTTGAAAATCAAAAGAAACCAAGCATGCAACACCATAATGCATATTTAGGCACTTCAAGCAACTCATATCCAACTAGAATTACAACATATAACATCATATTCTCTAAAATCACCAAGTTCTCCTCCTTGAAAAAAACAAGAACACGAAGGTTAACAACCAAACTTCAAAATCATGCAATTCAACAACACAATTGCAATCATTCAACAACCCTTTCATGCACCACACTCAACAATCAACAACAATTGGGTTCTAACTTCCCTTATCTCGAAATCGAAATGAAATGGGTTAGAAGGGAAGGGAAGAATGACTCTGAGGTAACATTGAAACTCCTTACCAAACTCTGATTCTTTGCTCCAACAACTTTGAATCACCAATAAGCTTCTTGACTATGAGTTTCTACGACTCTTGGGAAGCTAGAAAGAAGAAGGGTTTCAAAAATTCAAAATTCCTTTCTCTACTACGTCACTAAGATTTATCAAGAAATAAAACCTATGAAACTCAAGTCTAAAAAGAAACCTTATATATTATCTCTTCTAGGTTAAACTAGACATTTACTCAAAAGAAACTCCCTAAATGTCTAAAAACTCATGATAATTCTTAAATTTTCTGAGTTTCTCAACAATGAACATCAAATCACATAACATGTAATTATTGATAAAAATTAACAATAGCTAATGAAAATGTACAATGTTACACCTAAAAACATATGTATAATTTTAGTTCTCATTAAAAGTATATATTTTCATTTATTTGTTAAAGAACCTATTAGTTTAATGATTAAGCTTTAGTATTGGAGGTAAATATAAAATATTATAATCTCACTAAATGTTTGGGGACTTAAATTCAATACTTCATATATTTAAATTATTTAAAATTTGGAAGATAAAAAAGTACAATTGTAATGCTAAGAGTATATTTAAAAAGAAATTACAACTTTTTTTTTTGCCTTCTTGTTACTTTTTTGTGTGGTTATTATTGGGGGAAAAAAATTAAATTCCACATTGATTAGTGATAAAAACAAATAAAGACTTTATAAGTGGGGGCAATCTTTACCTTAGGAACTGGTTTTGCAAAATTGAGTTAAGTTTGCACTCCATTAACTAAGATTGAATCAGAACTATCCTAAATTCACATTAAAAGATCATTTATCATTGGTACATGCACCAAATCCCAATAATGTTGAACATAAAAAGGTGTATGGTAAAAAAATTCAAGTCCTAATTACCCTAAATCATTAAAAAGGATTATCGATCATTTAACTATATATTAACCCCAACAGTACAAATGTGATAGAGTGTATTAAGAAAAATTTAAGTCTTTTATCAACTAGTAACAAATAAATTTTTTTTATTATAAAAGATAACTCTCACCTTTCAAATTAATTTTATAAAATTAAATTAAATTTAAACTCTTTAACTAACTTTTTCTTATTAAATAAGCATAAAGTTTGAATCAAGAGGTATGTAATCATAACAATAAAATACAAAAGTCAACATAATAATCATATTTTTTTTATTAAGAGTAAAAAAAATACACACTACCTACAGAAAGTCAACATACATTAAAAACACGTGACTTCATTCAAATTTATTCTATGAACAAAAAAAATCTGTGACCTTTTCTGGCTATTCACGACATTACAACCACATTCACGAGGGAAATACATATAGCCAGATATGAGGCATCTTTTTATTTGGTGAACTCGAATATTTTCTAGCCTTTCATTTGAAGAACTATAATGAGGCAAGTGAAATAAAAGAAGCAGAATAGAAAACCTGAGGAACCATCCATATTTATATAAAATTTTGTTAAATATTAGCAATATGATTATCCTCTCTAAACATGTGATCGGAGCACATGGGATTTGCTTGTTACACACAAAAATGAACTCAGGAACTATTTTACCCCTAAAATATTTATTTAAAAAATGATTTAAAAATAAATTAATCCAAACATACTTAAAAACTCGTGTTAAAATATAATAAATATATTATTTAGTTTGACATGTTAAAGGACTTAATTATATTTTATTTTTTTTAACATCAACATGATCCACACAATATCACAAAATTGACAACCAAAAATAAATATATATTTATAGGGTGTGACTTTTACTAACCAAGTATTATTTTAACTTTTTATTTTCTTTGTTTAAGTATTTTAGTCTATATGTTTTTTATCCATAAATATTATAATGGCAGCATTTCTTTTATTCATAAGTATACTTCTCAATTTCATACACATAATTTAAAGGAAAATTTATGGATTATAATTTTGTATACATTTAGTAAACCCTTTTTTATGAATTACTTTATTATTATTTTTTAATTTACAAAATACTTTTAACTCAATTTTAGTTATATTTTATTTTTAATAAATTTTTAATCTTAATTATTATTATTATTATCATGTAATGTTAACATTTTATCGATAATTTTCACTTAAAAAATTTTATAATTAATAATTAATAACAATATTAATAAAACTCAAGATAATTTTGTATAAATTTATTATAAATTCAAATATAATATATACATTTAAAAGTATTTCTTATTTTATATTTTAATTTTAATTTTAATATAATTTATATATTTAAAAATATTTATTTTCATTATAAATTTTAGTTGTACGAAAAATGCTTATCTTGTGTAAAGTATAAGATATGTTAGTTCTAATTAATTTTTATTTTTAAGATAAAATATCATAACTTTTGCATTTAAATAAATATTCATGAAAATTTCTCTGATCATAAACAACGAGAGACACACGGATGAAAAAGATAATTGATTGATATGAATGGTTATACATTGTGACAAAAGAAAAATAGAGAAAAAAAATGAGAAGTGTAAATTAAGTATTTGAATTGTTTTGGTGTCTATAAATCAACACTCTATTCACAAAAATGTTAAAAGTTAAATATTCTAACTGCGTTGAAAGTTATCATATATTTTCACTTTTTTTATATGGACACCAAGATGTTCTTTTGTGTATTTATTTCATTCAATGTTAATCCTAGTAATTCTATTCTCGCATGTTTTTATCATATAAATTTTAAAATACATTCTCAAAAATATTATAAATATTAGCCGAACGTATTTCTTTTTTTTAATTTACTTAAAAGTATTGGTGTTTCTAAAAATGCTATTCCTTAAAATTTCATAAATAAGATAAGGAAAAGAAAACACTTAATTCTTATGTAAAGAAGTATTGGGATGAAAGTAAAGTCTCACATTATTCAAATAAGAGGATAAACATGAGTTTATATACACACAATTGTGTTTAGAGGCTTTTTGAGTGATGTTTAAAAGAGAGCTGATTTTAAAAGATAATATCTCATTAACACGAAGACATGTGTATGTGTGAGAACAAAAAGTATATTTATATCTATTATTAGAATCTTATTTGAGTAATGTAAGATTATTATAAAAAAAATATTTTTTTTTCTGAATATTGAACCGAACTTTTGTATCCGGGACTGGACCTGGAATAGCATGAGTCTAAAAGTGAAATGTATAGAATATTGAGGTTGGAGCAGCAGAGGGCAGAGGCAGAAGGACAAGGCCATGCATGATGCATGCGGTCAACTAGTAACACAAATGGCAGCCACATGTCACTTCCTTTCATTCGCTACAATGGCGACCGCAAAACTTGCAATTGCCAATCACTTTATATATATTCTTCTCAACGGTTCCCCCTTCTCTCTCATATCCATTTATCTCTATTTTGGTCTTCGTTTTTCCGCTCTTAATCTTCTCCCTTTGTCCCTGCCACGCTTCCACCTACCAACACAAAAGGACCTCCTCTTCTCCCCTCATCTTCTCGGGTTCGCTAGCTTCACTACTGTTTCTTTTCTTTTTTTTCTTGGATCAAGTGCAAACCACCTTCGGAATACCTGTTTCTTCATGTGTCATCTTCTGGGGTTGTTTCAAATAGTTTCACAGGAGCTTCTGGCTTAAAGGGCACACGAAAAAATAAATCTTGTTTGGTTGTTGGTAGATTTGTGTTATGGGACAAGGACAGGTTGCACGTGCGAGGCTGCTACAATGAGTGGTGTCGGTGGTGGGTGCCCCTGCCCCAGGGGTAATAGTGAATGTTCCTTGGAGGATCTCAATGGTGATACTGTAGGGAGTTTGAATCAGAATATTGGGAAGCCTCCAAGGGATCATACGGTTATGCGCCATATCAGCAGCTCTTCTTGGTCTGCTGAA